CTCGGGAGCCAAAAAATCTTCCGTGTTATAGGTGAAACCGCGTTCTATTGAATTTGCTTTGATCCACCAGAGTGCGCAGCCCCGCCCCCCTGGAGCACTGCTTTACCACGTTATATCCGAATTCGTGTTATACCGGGTCACGTTATATCGGGGTAGAGGTGTACTATGTACACAACATACGTAGACAAAATCATACAAGGCACAAACCTGTAGCTCCTCATCTGTGAGATTTTCCCCAAGTTCCTTGGCCACACGTTTAAGGTTTTTGAAAGAGATTTTGCCGGTTTCATCATCATCAAACAGTTTGAAGGCTTTTAGAATCTCCTCTTTGGAATCTTTTTCAGCCTTAAAGAAGTAATCATCATACCAGTTCATAGCCAAAAACTTTGTTAACTTATAGTTAAGTCTAAGAGTACATATCAATAACTTAAGTGTAAAAATTGTAGTTATCAAAACAAACATTAGAAACACAAGAAACTCAGCTAAGATTCAATACAAAAGAAACCCAATTATTAGAAATTATGCAAATAGTGAGTGAAAGCACTCAGAGAGCCTTAATTTTGCCAATGTAATGATGTTCTCTGAATATCACTTTTCTGTTCCTTTCATGTCTAGGACCAGATCTTTGCATGATTGAAGTTTTGCAGCATCAAGCTTCTACACCGTCAAATATGTTATTTTGTTATCATTGAGTTTTTCTAAGAATTTTTAGGTACAGTACACAGATCATGGCAGTAGAGATCTTAAATTTGGAAAAACATTTCACTGGCATAGTGACTATCACGGTCATCCTCACAACTTACCAAAATTTATCACAGCTTCTCTTCTTGGTGGCCAATGTTGTTTTTCCTCTCTTGTGTGGTTTTGATTATATTAGTTTCTCTCCACACCATTCTTTTTAAGCAATCTTATCAGAGAGAAAGATCTTAAAGACACCACCAACTATGATGGGATGGTTCCTATTTGCAACCACAACTTTTGCACATATGGTTGCTAAGATTAGGCAGGGAAGTTTTGAGTCCTTTCAATTCCCACTGAAGTCAACAGGAATTGAAAAGCATTCAGCAACTTGCAAAATTGGTTTCATTGTGACTGTCCCAATTTACATACCATCTTCTGAGTCATCACCACCAGAAAGTCATTGAAGCTGATCTTTCCTGTTCCTTCCTTATCAATGTCTGATATCATTTTCTTGATCTCTTCTTTTTTGGGTTCAAACCCTAGTGCTCTCATGGCCACCTGCAAACAATGAAAAGAGATTAGCTCCTCAGTGGGCAATGGAAATAGAAGTATGAAAGAAAAAAAGTTAAACTATGCCACGCTGTGGTTAAATTAGGTATTTTTTCCTCAAGGCAAATAGTAAGGTCAAAGAGCAGGTGATGGAAAAATGGTCTCCTAACAACACTTAGCAACCTGGAGAGAGCTGAATGTCTTTACAGTAACTCCTTCGGCTTGTATAGGAGCTCTCTAGACATGCCCTGGAGAATATTGCATCCAGCTTTCTCTAGTCAGTACTAGCAAGGAAGTGTAGTCAGTAAAGGGGGAAATTAATGGAAGAGAGAAGTTCTTGGTGTTCTGCAGACCTTCTTTCCCCCATAAGAAAAAAGCCGAAGATATAAGACTCATCACCCATGCTGCGTAAGAAATTGTTCCCCCTGATCCTGAGGTCTTTAACCTTATTCATTTGATCTTTAGCATTCTAAGTCACTTTCTGAGGTCTGGGTTTTCCCTCTTTCTGGCTTAGAACTCGGAAACCCACTCAGAGGGTAAGTGTTCTGGTTAGGTGAAAGGTTTGGGAAAACAAATAGAACAGATCTAAAAGACCACCTTTTCTCTATGGAAAATAAAGTGTGGATGGGGTACAGGAAAACGCAGAGAGCTCTCCTATTCTACTGGTCAAAGAGTCACTACATTATTATGTGGACACTACATTCAGGATGAGGAACCTTAGATATACACACTTCCTGGAGCCTCTAGGGAGGTAACTGGAGGGAAAAGAAAGGTCACAGTCTTCAAGGAACATGACCCCATGGGAGAATATCCCATCATGTCTAGTAATGTACTGAACTCCAATCTACTGTGCTCCTCAACTCAACCAGCACTTAAGCTCAGAGGGAGTCAGGGTCTACACCTTGACATAAACCTTCAGAAGAAGTCTAAAACAGCTGGGATTCTGGTTCCTCTATAAATCTCCTTTTAAAAAGCTGAACAGTTGGTTTTGTCTATCATGTATATAGAAGTTGCTTCAGCCCCTGCCACATTCCACTGACATAATGGAAATTTCTCTCAAAGAGTGTAGAAAAAACACTTAGAACCCCCTCAGGAAAGCACTACTGCAAAAAGCATATTTGAGAGTTTCCCCACCCCTCCACACACTGCTTTTGCATTCCCTGGTGAAGAGACAAATGGCAGACTTGAAGGTTTTTTTTTTTTTAAATTGGTGCTATACCTATCTCATAGAACTAGAAGGGACCTTGAAAGGTCATTGAGTCCAATCCCCCGCCTTCACAGCAGGACCACGTACCGTCCCTGACAGATTTTTTTATTTTTGTGTGTGCCCCAGATCCCTAAATGACCCCCTCAAAGACTGAACTCACAACCCTGGGTTTAGGAGGCCAATGCTCAAATGACTGAGCTATCCCTCCCGCCACGAGGTTGCCTTTCTGCATGGTCCTCTGAGTGTGGCAGGATTTAAACTGGAGAAGCAGAAGAGGGAGCTGTAGAAAGCAGAAAAATCCTAGACAGGGTTAATCCTCCTCCTCCCTAGCAGAATGAGTGAGGTGGAAGCCCCAAATATCTGCTCTGTCACAGAAATGATGACATGGGCATGTTCTTTAACAATGGCTTTCAGAATGGTATGATTCTAAGGTGGCTTTCATAATGACCAAAAACCTTTGACCATCTACCAACACATACAAAGCTCATGACATCCTGGAACTACATTCCAGAGTGTGTTTCTGTCAACCCAGCTCCAAAGACCCATGGGAGAAGGGAACAGCGCAAAGAGCGACAGATAGCAATTGTGTGGGGATGCAGTGGCTTTGTGTTGTAAAGGGATCAATCCTCCTCTGCCCCAGCTTAAATTAGTTTAAGTCTCTATACGTCTAGGTCCTTTTTCTCTTTAACATTGAGTTTAATCTTGCCTTTAGCTCCTTAACATCTATGTTCCCAGTGCCATCGGTATCAAACAGATCAAAAGCCTCTCGGATCTCCTGCTTCTGGTCTTCAGTTAGTTCAAGTTTAGGACCTGTCTTCTTCCTCTGGGCTACTGCCCCTAATGTAGATTTCTTGAAGCTGGAAGCCTTGAAATATTAACAGAAGAGCAGAGACTAGAATTAGATTCCCAAAGCAGGCAGACAAGACTCTCAGCATCAGGGGCGAACAATCCAGAATGAAATCAGAAGCTTCCATTCTCAGCAACCCTTGTGATTTCCAGAGAAGGCAGAGAACAATACACAATGTGGCCACACAAAAATCTAACAAGCTGCCCTTTTAAAGGACAGAGGTATGGCTTGTGAAGACAGAAGGTTCCAGCCTGAAGGGGTAACTTGCAGGGATGATAGGTCCCTGCATATTATGCTCCATCTATATTTGTATATAAGTGCATTGAAACCAAGATAGTGCAATGTACGCTGAGACTGGTAATTTTTGCAGGCTACACGCAGAGCTGTCCTTAGGGTATGGCGAATCAGGGCGGCCCCCCGGCCCCGCGCTTTGGGAGGCCCCACGGCGGCCTCCCCGAATTGCCGTACCCTATGGACGGCTCTGTGAGTGTGTTGTACGGGGGGGCGCTAGGCCAGCCCGGGGCGTGTGTGATTAGGGTGTGGGGGGCTTAAGGGGACCCCAGCTCTCCCCGCCAGCTCCCAGTGTCGCTCAGAGGAGGGGCGGAAGCCAGAAAGAGGCAGGGCGGGGCAGGGGAAGAGGTGGGGTGGGGGCTTAAGGGAAAGGATGGAGTGGGGGTGGAGGCTGAGGGGGGTAGTCCCAGGCCCCACACCCCCCTACGGACAGCCCTGGCTACATGGTTGGGATCAAGATGATACAGTGCACACCAGAATATCTTTGCAAGCCATGCAGCTGGGACCAGCACCATGTAGCACACACTAGGGCCTGTTGCCTACCTAGGCCATGCCACCTAGATCAACACATTGTCGCAGTGTAGCCTAATGGATTAGCACTGAACCAGTCTCAGAAAAGCTGGTTCTAATCCCAGCACTGTTATTAGCCTGCAGGGTGACCTTCAGTAAGTAATGTCCCTGCTCTGTGCCTCAGTTTCCCCATCTGTAAAATGGGGATAAAGTTACCGCCCTCCTTTGTAAAGTACTTTGAGATCGACTGATGGTAAGGGCTGGGTGGTGTTGTTATTATGGCGGGGTGGGAGGAGGACCCGTGCATGTGGGGCCTGCAGCCCCCTTGGAAGCACCACTACAGCACAGGTAAGGATGCAGCTAGGAACTCAGTACTGCCACGCCAGCCCGGACGCAACCCCTTGGACCTCAGAGCTGCCTCCCTCGGGTCGCTGACCACCCCAGGGCCCACTCCCCCAGCCGCTATGTGGGGTTGGGGTTGCTAAATCCCTGTGACAGGCTTCGGGGCCTACTGCTTCTGCACCACACTGCGGTCACTCCATCAAGCAGCCGGCCTAGCCCGCGCCACGCCGTGTTGTGCCCCCGCCCCGTCCTCCAGCCCGGACAGCCCTCGGTCCCCCTCACCATCCCGCAGCCGGTGCCGCTGGAGCAGCGCCTCCGCTCCGAACAGAAAAAAAGGGGCGGGCACAGTATCAACGGCAGCTTTCCCTATAAGTCAATAGTTCTACCCTGATGCCATAGCAATCACGTTTCCCATTGATTAAAGGCCTCGCTCTGGAGACCCGATCCTATGCCGATTGGTCAAGACGCTTAGTGGGCGGATCCGGAAGAAGGGGGGGGGGACTATTCCGCCTTCCGCCAAGTCGATTGGCTGAAGCGGAGTATTCGGGAAACCAATCATTGAGCGCGTTGGGGCTCGCCTGATTCTCGGCCCAGGAGCTGGGCTGCGAGAAGGGCGGAGCGGGCAGGCAAGGCTAGGCTGTTGCCGCTTGGCGGGTTGCCTGTGTTCCTGGAACGGGACTGGTAAAAGCAGCGGTGGTGTAGGGGTCCTGCCTGCTTCCTCTTGGGGCTGGGCGCCAGGTAGGGGTGGGCAAGGGCTGTGGCAGGAGGTTGGGGGCACACGGGGGAGCTGTGGGGAGAGGGCTAGGAGGGGCCAGGGCTGGAGGGAGGGTGTCTGGGTGCTTAGGGCCGTAGGGGCCTGTGGGTGCGGAGTCCTGAAGGCTGGTTGTGGGGGGTTCGGGACAATGGGAGTCCTTGGGCTATAGGAACAAGGGCAGGTTTGTAGAAATTTTGGTGGTGCACAGAACACCCAGAACCCAGCCCCCTCCACACACACTTGCCTAAGGTGCTGGGAGAGAGTTTGGGTGCAGGCTCTGGTGTGGGGCAGGGGATTGGGATGCAGGAGAGCTGTAGGCTCTGGGAGAGAGTTTGGGTGCAGGAGGTGTGAGGGGTTGGGCTCAGGGAGGGAGTTTGGTGGGGGGGGGGTCTGGGGTGCAGGTTCTTGGCTGGGGCAGGAGATTGGTGTGCAGGGTGCAGGTTCTGAGAGGGAGTTTGGGTGCAGAAGGGGTGAGAGGTAATGCTTGGGGGAGAGTTTGGGGGGGTCTGGGGTGCAGGCTCTGGGAGAGAGTTTGGGAGTGAGAGGGGGTGGGGGAGGGAGTTTGGGGGCCGGAAGGTGTGTGTGTGGAGGGGGTGTGGGTGCAGGCTCTGGAAGTGGATGGGAGGGAGGTTCGGTGCTTACCTGGGGCACCTCCTCCGGCAGCGGCTCCTAGGCGGGGCAGGCCGGGGGGGTCTCCTTGTGCTGCTGTCCCCAGGCACCACCCCTGCAGCTTCCCATTGGCCACAGGGACATTCGGGGCAGGGGCTGCTATCCCCCCATGGGCTGCAAGGACGTGCCGGCAGCCAGGTGGAATGAGCGCACAAGAAGCCGCTCAGCCCCGCTGTTTTAAAATGCCCGGGGGCAGCAGGTGGGGCTGGGAGATGCACGGGGGGTGGGGAGGGAAACTTTGCTGGAGCCAGGCCCCTGGGCTAGGGGTATTCCTGGTGCCCGGGCACCAAGGGCCCATAGAACTCGCCGCCCATGAACAGGGGGAGTTATGGGCTGTGTTTGTCATTCACATGTATCATTTTAATATGTGTGTTGGGAGGGGTGGTATCCCCCTAGGCTTCAGCCCGCGGCAGGGACTCATCTCTGGGCTCTCTCCCATGTTGCCTTTGTGTTGCCAACTCTTGTGCTCCAAGCTGCTGGAACTGCTATACAGTACAGTACTTCAGTTTTCATTCTTTTAAAGAAAGTTTCTAGCCGTCCTGGTGAGGAAGCAGGTGCACTGTGAAGGCACAGAAATCTTTTATCATGTAAAATACGTCATGAATTTTAAGCCAATCTAATGATTTTTCAGGGCCAGACTCTGATTTTTGAAGACTGGGGACTGACAATACTACTCTTCCCTGGCAAAATCTCCCTGATAAAATCCTAACAGCCACTAACTTAACCTCAAATTCTTCCTTAAGAGTCACCTTTGCTGTTATACCTACAAACCCCAGCCTGTTAAACATAGCTGGACTAGAGACAAGCTGTGATTCTTCCTCCCCAGTTAGTGTACCTTGTTTGTTTTCAATGTAACTAAATAAGCGGGGCCAATTCCTCACCAGATTCATTTGCTTATGTTATAGTCTCATTCTTTTTGTCTTTAAATTGTAAGCAATTCAGGGTAGGGATTGTCTCTTTTCTCTGTTGTACAGTGCTCAGCACAATGGGGCCCTAGTTCCAATTTGGGAGTTTGCGCTACCATTATTATTAGAAAATATTTTTATATTATAGTGCTTCAATCCTGTCCTGGCTAAGGATAAACCATGTGGCCATTGGTTCCTCTGCCTCTGGATGTTGTGCAGATGGACCTTAACAGATCTGCAGTAGTTATTGATGGGCCCAGTGTGGCTGCTCCCAGAGTGGTGGAACTGGGGGGGCGGTCTAGCCCCCACCCCTGCAATAGTCACACAATAAACTCATACCTGGGAGGGGAGGTAAGAGTGGGAGCCAGAGAGGCTGGAGTGGCTACCATGGGTTGGGGGTTAGGCCAGAGAGTGGGACCTGCAGGGGCTGGAGTAGGCAGGGACCCTTGGGAGCTTCCTTCCCAGCCTAGAAACACTGCATTTCCTGGCTGAGTCTTAGTACCACCCCTCAATCCCCCATATTTACAGGGAGCTTCTGCCCCACTCCCAGGCTGCTCTCTGGGAATTATATTGCACAGTCTGCTGATGTGTTTGCAGTCTAGTGTTCAATTCAGAGATGACACGGCAGTTTAAACTGGCTAAAATGAGAAGGATTTGCTGATTAAGAGGCATTTTTCCACAAATACACAATTACCTGAGCTACATAAACCTGTTCGGAGTACTGTCATTGATGTAGAATCTTTATATCAAATTGAATTTCAATAATTTATGTATTTTCTGGAGCTTAAAATAATAAGAGATCAACTATGTTGCTGAGAAGTTTTATAAAAAATAGCCATTTTATTTTTGTGGGACCTACGCAAAAACAGTGTGCTCTCCCTATGAGGACGATGCTAGCGAGTAAAGTGTACAAGATTGATCCAAGTTACTCATCTGCTGTGGTGATGTTATATGGGAAAAATCTGTGTTTTCCAGTTTAAATGGCAGGTGTTTGTTTTTGCACCACTTAAATGTAATATGAAAAGTATTAACTTTTTTTGTTTTGTTTTTTTGGGAATTAGATTTGCAGTGAATCCTCCAAGAAATGGCCACACAACTCAGACCAGTAAGTTCAAAGGAAATATTTTTTTCTCATCTCCGTTCTGGAAAACTGGTACCCTGCAATGGGATCCCTGTCTAAAGACACAGCACTTAGAATCCATTGAACAATCATCTGCCTTGGGCAGTTTCACTGGGATAATTTTCCCCTTGAACTCTGTAGAAGATTTGCTGAGGTGAGTTTTTGTGTAGTAACAATAGAAGCAAATCTATTTGCAACCAGGACAGTGGGTTCTCTGTACAAAGCTCTTCTGCAAAGCCTCAGTTGCTCACTCTGTGCTGGTGCTGAGCAGATAGGTCACTGGTCTTATTTCAGACAGGTGAGTACTCAGACCAGAGTGCCTGATATTGACTCTGACCAATGTCTTCATAGAAGAAAGGCTAAGGATTAATTAAAAGGGTAAGCTGTATCTGCTTGGCTGCCTTCCTGGTTTTGGACCCATTAGTCCTGCTCCAAGCTTTGTGTGAGAACTAGTTTCACCTGCTCCTTTCCATCACTGAGAATGAAACTCTATTGGAATAAACTACAGCAAGCTAAGTTTGTGGGAGGGTTACAGCTATATATGAAGGAAACCGCTGGAGACTAGGAGCTACTGACAGCCAGAGTGGACTTTGTTCTCATTGATTTTAAGAGACACTTGGATCTACAACTGCACCTATCATTCATGCTTGTGTTTGTAGATACACTGTCTGCACAATATGAAATACATGTATGTATCGAAGTAGACAAGAATTTTGCAATCTGAGTGCTCTAGAGATTGAGATTTGGTAAATGAGTGAGCAAATGGAATATATAAAGAGTGGGGCTCATTGGCAGAATGGGGGAGGGGGTAGATAGCTGTTTGTTTTATATCTGAGCCAAATTAATGGCATTACATGGGTTGTGAATCAGTACATAAAGTCAGATAGGATTGTGTAGAACTTGGTTCATCATATTTTTAGGGGTGGCTAAGCTCTTGTTTCCCGTGTCTCTGGCTCTTGAGCAGTTTCAGACTGCTTGATATAAGAACTGGGAAATTAAACAAAATAAATTAGTCTAATGAAATTTCGCCATATAATCAACCTCCTGGGAAGGTAAATACAGTCAGGATAAACCTAGTCAATGAGAGGGAATGAGACAGGATCTTACAAAGGCCATAAGCTGTGCCAGTGAGTTGCTTAATACCTGGATTCAGATTCCTCTGATCAGCCTAATTACTGACTTGTCTAACTGCAGCAGTGGAAAACTTGAATTCTGAACTTCAGCCGAGCGACTGAGATCATCACTCCTGTGAAGTTGAAGCCTGGGTTTACTGAAAGACTTCACAAGTGTGTCTGCTTATTATGATACTTCTCTCCCCTTCTTGCCTCTACAGGCCAGTAAGAAATGCACCGTGATAGGTGGCTCAGGATTCTTAGGCCAACACATGGTGGAGAGGCTGCTGGAGAAAGGCTACACAGTCAATGTGTTTGATATCCAAAAGGGGTTTGAGAATGATAAAGTGCAGTTTTTCCTGGGAGATCTCTGCAGTAAAAAGGTATAGTATGAACAGAGCTGACAAATATAATACTGTGTTAGGAAACAAAAGTGAAATATATAGACTGAGCTTAGGATCTCGTAGAGGCACATTCCCCAAGGTAATTGACTCAATTTTTGTGTGAGACATGTAATGTGTTCCTTGAAAGGTGGGAAGGTCAACGCTACAGCAGTATTTTGTGGACGGGTTGCAGTACGACCTTGTGAAAGGGTGATCAACTATGTCCCCTCTCTGCCAGTGCAGTCCTTCGCTTCTTTCACCAGTGGCTAAAAATAATCCCTAATGGGGGACTCTTCTTGAACTCTTTGGAACAGTCCTTGGTTGTTTTGGCTTGTATCTGTACAAGGACAGGGCTTATACCTGCCTTGCAATGTGGAGACATGCATCACGATGTGTCTTGGAAATAAATTGCTGCATGTGTCTTAGACTCCTCCACAGGCATGATGTACTCCTTACGAGGGATGCACTATAAAGCTGGGCAGTAATGTTGGGATTTGGGGGTTAAATCCTTGGAAGGGTTCCATGCTGAGCTTTTAACTCCATCTGAGACGTCCTTGGCCTTCTACCTGCACCTGACTAGCTGGGTGTGGCTAGTTTCCAAGCCTTAGGAAGCTTCTGGATTTTTTTTCCTGGGGGGAAAAACAACAAATGGAGCTTCCTGCCTAGCAGTAAGAGGTCTGGAGATACAAGAGCTGGTCCTATATCTCGACTCTTCGGCTTCATGAAGATGATGTGGCTGTTACGTTTCACAAGAAAAATGTGGGCATGTGTGTGTTCATATAACCTATACACTTTCCAAAATGGAAAGTACTCCTGGTGTTTTCACTGGTGCCTTGTCTCATCTGTCCCCCTAGGACCTGTTCCCAGCTCTACAAGGTGTGACAGTGGCTTTTCACTGTGCTTCACCAGCACCTTTCAGTGACAACAGGGATCTGTTTTACAAGGTGAATTTTATGGGGACCAAAACTGTCATTGAAGCCTGCAAAGAAGCTGGGGTTCAGGTAAGAGTAGAACAGTGTATGGGGGGGACATGAGATGCTGAAGTCCTGATATAAGGATATAGAGCAATAGCGGCATTAAAGAAATGTGAACTTAATGACTCCAATAGTAACTATAAGACAACTGCACCATTTTCCCCTTGGTCTTTCCAACATCACATGAGCTTTTTATTTCAATTTCTGCATATTGAAATCCTTGAGCACTGGATGAATGAGAGACTTTATTTTTTGGTGGAGGGAAGGTTGCTATGAAATACACCCATTGTACAGTCTCCGGGTGGAAATACAGAATTACTAAAACAATACACAAATTAAATGATGCATGTCAAGTATGGACTCCCACCCCACAATTGCTTTCTTTCTATAATAGGCTGCTGGGAGGAAAATGGGCCATGTATTGTTTACCTTCAGGCTTCAGATTGGGATTCGTCAGAACAAGGAGTACATCTGAGTCCAGAACTTCAGGCAGAAAATAATGTCTCTTTTAAACTGTAAAAGATTAAAAAGTCGTGTTTCAGAGTGTAATTTGGTTGATGGTATTTCTGATCATCTATATATCTTTGACTTCCCATTTCAAATCTGCTGGGCCATATCATATTCCAACAAATGTAGCATAAAAATATTTTTAAGATACTTTCAAGACTAGCAAATACCTCTTAAAAAGCATACATTGGTATTAAGAGTTGAAATATGCCAGGAAAGCAGGCTAAGTGGGCAATCAACTTCTCCTTGTAAACTATTTTTCTCTCTTGATTGACAACACTGGAAATTTTCTGAAGTGTCCACTTCACCTGTTTCTGAAGCATTTTGTCATTTCAGTAGGATTATTTCATCCTTAGTAGGATATATTATGAGACGTTTATGTTGTCAGGCGGTCTGCAGTGGCTTACAACCATGAGTTTCTATCTCAGGGCAGATTAAATTAATTAATTAATGGAGATATCCTATCTCCTAGAACTGGAAGGGACCTTGAAAGGTCGAGTCCAGCCCCCTGCCTTCACTAGCAGGACCAAGTACTGATTTTGCCCCAGATCCCTAAGTGGCCCCCTCAAGGATTGAACTCATAACCCGGGGTTTAGCAGGCCAATGCTCATTGTCAGAACCAGGGCAGATACCACAAACTGGTGATGTATTCTATAATTAGATTTCACCAAATGTGAACTCCTGGATCACTGTAACAGTTTTAGCATAGAGTCAGACAGTCCTCTTAGACTCTCCAGTCTATCTTGTCATCCAGACAAACTGGACTTGGTGATAAATGGTTATGTACACCAAAAATCATACCATATTCACATTGCTTCCAATCCCAAGAGACCAGTTACTTATCCCAAATCAATTGGTTCCCTAGATTTTACACCAAAGACCATGCCTGTAGCCAGTCTTGTAATAAACTACACCTCTATCCTGATATAATGCTGTCCTCGGGAGCCAAAAAATCTTACCGTGTTATATCAAACTTGCTTTGATCCATCGGAGTGCGCAGGCCTCCCGCCCTCCCCCCCCCGGCTTCCCGGAGCACTGCTTTATCGCGTTATATCTGAATTTGTGTTATATTGGGTCACGTTATATCGGGGTAGAGGTGTATCTAAAGGTTTATTAACTGGGGGGGAAGAGTTAGTTACAACTTAAAGCAAGCAAACGTATACACACAAATGACTTACCATCTAAATTCTAAGAGTGACAGAGATGTAGTAATCTGTCAATTCAAAGTGTCTTTCAGAGCAGACCCAGGAGACAGCCCCTGGGGATCTCTGGCTTCAGTTTGGTTGCTCTGGCCCTGTGAGAGTTCAAACTGCAAAGAGAGAAAAATTTTTTCCTGTGACTTTGTTTTATTAGAATTTCCCAGGTGTGAGAGGCCCATTAACCAGTTCATTGTATTGCGATGTTCCTTGATGGCCTATCTGATTTTGATAGCCCTTTGGGATGCCTGGGTTCACAAGTTCAGAGTAAATATTTTCCAAATTATAAAGCAAAACTTACGCATTTTCTTAGTATGGAATACCAACATTACAAGTGAGATTAATGCATGCAAAATTTTACAAGCATTTCGTAGAGTCTAAACATTAAATACGTTAGGTTTTTTGAGCAAAGCTAACGTACAGGTGAACTGGTCTGGTCTCCAGCTATGAGTTTGTCAGTTCTTAGCTAATGCCTGCAGCATGGGTAAGAGCCGGCATCTGGTCCGCCAGTATGTGCCGTCTAATGGAGATCAGTTATGAATATGGGGTTTTTATAACCTGTAATTTTCAGATCACTTTCAATTAAAGCATCTCTAAAAGAAACTGCTGCATTCTCTGTAGAACTAGCCAAGAAGAGGCTAATATTGTTCCTTCTCATTGACTTTTCATGCAGCCTTTGTAAACAATATATCTTTTGGCTTATCCTCTAACACATTACGTTTCTTCCCTAACCGTTGTCAGAAACTGGTGTTAACCAGTAGTGCCAGTGTAGTCTTTGAGGGCACAGACATCAAGAATGGAACAGAAGACCTCCCTTATGCAAAGAAGCCCATCGACTACTACACAGAGACCAAGATCCTGCAGGAGAAGGTATACAGCACCATGCTGCTAATACTATCACACTCTGTGCTTAAACCAGCATTTCTTCTTCGAGTGATAGTCCCTATGTGGATTCCAAAAGTGGGTGCGCATGCATGCCTGAGCCGAAACTGTTCACAGTAGTGTCCATTGTTCCGCACATGCCGAGGCTTTAAGAGGTTGCGTGGGTCGACGCCGCTCCATTTCCCTCTTACCGCCACATGGCCAGAGTCGGAACCCCTGTTCCTTGCTGCTCTTAGCTTGATAAGAGAACTGCTTCTGTCCATTGTACATAGTTTTTTCTTCTTAGTTAGTTTTTTGTAGTGTACTTACTTGTTTATCATTAGTTAGTTAGCTGTTTCCCCTGGACTTCTCCCCTCTGGGAACTTTTTGCCCGGCAAGCTGGGTTCAAATATAGTGCTTCGTGTCTGCAGTCCTTTTCTGTGAGCGACGAGCACCAACATTGCCGTGACGAAGCTCATATTGCTGCCCACTGCTCTATTTGTCGATCGTTTCTGTCACGCATCTGCAAGGCCAGAGAATGTCACCTCCGCAAAAACCTCATGGAAGAGGCAATGCGACGCAACCACGTGTGCTTCCAGGATCTGCTGGAGCGGGGTTCAACACTGGTAGTGAACACCTCTCCAGAACCACCCCACCCAGCACCAGCTGCATAAAAAGCACACTCGTGGGCACAAAAGGTGCTCCCTGATGGCAACTGCCTCCAAGCAGTGTTGCCTCCCTGAGCCGTGCCAGGTCGGGTAAGAAGTTGCTTGCCAACTCAGACACTCCTTCTCCAAAGAAGTCCTGCTCTGAGCACAAATCTAAGACCTGCGCTCCGCTGGCACTGTCACCGGCCACAGTGTCTGGCCTGCCGCTGTCGCCTCTGGCTCTGTTCAGCCTGCCAAGTCCATCCAGACATACCTGCCCAGTACCATGTACGCCAGGAGCTTGTCTCCCCTTACATCAACGGCTGAGCTTAGTCTGCCATACGTGGTCTCCCCACCTTGTCCCGGGACCTCTGTCACTATTTGCCTACCATCCCCCGTGGACGAGCTGCTCCTATTCCAACCTTCTCCACTTTTCTACGCCGGGTCCATCTACTGTTGCTCCTGGACTGTCCTCCCACACCAGCGGTGCCAGTGGTCCTGATGGCTCTGCCCCTACCAGACCTGTCTTCTGAATCTAAGTGGTCTTCCGAACTGAACACCGCATTCTCACCTGTACGGTCCTACAGCTCGGACCTTCAGTGCCATCCATACCCTCCCGCATACGCCCCACCGGCCAATCCATGGTACCATTACTTCCGAGCACCACCGCTGCCTGGCGACCCATATGCCGGGCCATACTGGGCCATGTGGAAGCCCTACCATGACCATGGCATGCCAGCTCACTCATGACACTGTCCATCCCCGACGCACGTGGCCCCTTCCTCCATCTTTGACGACCCATAGTCTGTCCCTGTTCTGGCGGCACTGGTGTTACTGACAGTGACCTTACCAACCCCAGTCCATACAGGCGCTTCCTTGTCTCCCGATGATGCCATCATCCCTCCTACACTCATCTCCTGCTGACCTACTGCAGTACCAGGACTTATTTCAACGTATGAACAACACCCTCAATCTGCCTATCCAAGATGTCCAGGACCCACAGGATCAATTCTTGGACATCCTAGGATCTCCTGGACCCTCACATATTGCCCTCCCCATTCACAACGCACTCTTACAACCGGCCCAGGCTGGCACACCCCAGCTTCCTGTGCCTCAACACCGAAGCGGATGGAATGCCGCTATTGCATTCCTTCGAAGGGTGTGGACTTTTTCACCTACCCTCTCCGTAATTCGCTGGTGGTCCAACCTGTGACTGAACATGCCTGCTGACACCTGTGGTCTACATCCCTGATTGGGCTGCCAAGAAGTTGGACCTCATGGGCTGTAAGGTCTGCTCCTCTGCTGGCCTTCAATTCTGCATCGCCATCTTGGCCAAGTATGACTTCCTATCATACTCCAAGCCTGCAGACTTCCAGGCCTTCCTTTCCCCCAGAGAAGCAACAAGACTTTCAGTGCCAACTGGATGAAAGCAAGTTGGTGGCCAAGGTTGCTGTCCAGGCTGTGGTTGATGCTGCGAATACTGCATCCTGCTTGCTAGCATCCGGGGTCGTTCTTCACTGGGATTTCTGGCTTCAATCCAGTGGCTTCCCAAAAGAGGTCCAAACCACCCTTGAGGACTTCCCCTTTGACAACCATAAGTTGTTCAGCTTCGAGGTGGATGAGTCCCTATACTTCCTCAAGGACTCCTGTGCCACTCTCCAGTCCCTGGGCCTTCTTCTCTCTCTCCCCTTCCACCCCACCCCCCCAACCAACAACTCTCCTCCTTCCGACCACGTACCAGCCTTACCACCAGCCCTATCCTTTTCGGCACCGCCTGTGCACCCAGCAACTTTGCTACCCTGCCACTGCTTCTTCATCTGTCTCCAACATTCCTCAAAGCGGCCCTTTTGACTCCTTCCCTGAGATCCATTAACCGCCCCACCACCTTCCCATCACTCCACAGGTGGTTTTCGAGGGTCACCTTGCCCTCTTTGCTCACAACTGGGGCAACATTACCACAGACTGCTGGGTGCTGGACATTGTTAATTGTGGGTACCTGATTGAGTTTATCTCCTTCCCAACTTGCTGCCTATCCCGGGAGCACCCTGCCACATTATCACACTCATCCCTCCTCCAGAAGGAAGCATATGCCTTCCAACTCAAGCGCTGCTGGGGCTTCTGTTCCCCTATTTCCTCTTTTCGAAGAACAGTGGCCTCAGTCCTGTTTTGGACCTCCGCCTTCTGAACAAATTTATTTGCAACTTCCATTTCCTCATGGTTCACCCTCCCCCTCATTATTCCCCCTCTCCCCATGGAGCTTGGTTCACAGTATGAAGGCATCCTTTATTTATAGTTCCATATCGACATGCACCCTGCTCATCGCAAGTTCCTCTGCTTCACAGTCAAACACTCTTATTATCAGTTCTGGGCCCTCCCCTTTGGGATTGCTAACACCCCCCGCATCTTCACAAAGGTCTTTGCCCTCGTGTTAGCACCGCCTGGGCCATTCTATGTTCCCATGCTTAAATGATTGGCTCTTCATGGTATCATCCCAAGCCCATCTCCTCACCACTATTCAAACTCTGTGTGCCCTCCTTGGCGCCCGAGGGGTTTTCATCAATGAGGAAAAGTCTATCTTCACCGCTACCCATTCCCTCACCTTTATAGGCGCTCGTTGCGGCCTGGGCTTACCTTCCCTCAGAATGCTTCCCCACTCTCATGACCCTCCTTGCACAGCTCTGCTGACACCTGTGTACACACATCTGTCTTGCCTCTCCCTTCTGGGTCATATGGCATCCTGCACCTCCGTTACCCCATACACCCATCTCCATTTGTGCTGCCTCGAACTGTGGCTCCGTCCATCTACAACCTGCAGTCCAACCACCTCAACAAAATGGGTCCTCGTTCCTCCACCAGTTCTCACCTCTCTCACCTGGTGGCGCAATCCAGCCACAGTTTTGACTGGCGTTCCCTTCGCACCTCCCACACCCCACCTTACCCTCATGCTTTGCTCATTGGCTGGGGCGCTCATCTAGATGACCATGTGGCTCAGGGCCTCTGGTCACTCAAGGAAGCACGGATGCATCTTGGCATCCTAGAGCTGCAAGCTGTTTGCCTTGCCTGCCGGGCCTTCCTGCCTCTCCTTCGATCCCGCTATGTACAACTGCTGTTGGACAACATGACAGCTGTTGTTACATCAACAAGCAGGGTGGAGCCCAATCCCCCTCTCTCTACTGAGGCCATCCTCCTGTGGAACTGGTGCCTCCAGTACGTCGACATGTTGCAGGCAGTACATCTTCCTGGAACCAGCAACTCCATGGCAGACATGCTCAGCCATTCCTTCCATGCCAATCACAAGTGGGAACTTTACAACTCCGGTCCCTTTTCCACCTGTGGGGCATGCTGACTTGGGACCTCTTTGCCATGTCAGAAAACCACAAACTTCCTCTCTTTTTGCTCCACAGGTGCTCTTGGCCCAGGCTCCTAGGGCAACGCTCTCCTCGTTCCCTGTACCCCCAGTCTATGCTATGCTTTCCTCCCTGTTTCCTTACTTCCCCAAGTCCTCCGCAAAGTATGGTGAAATTGCGCAACTCTTCTCAGAGCCCCCTCCTCGCCCCGCCAGTACATGGCTCTCCTCCACCTCTCTGACCCCTAGATACGTCTTCTGGACGTCCTGAATCTCCTCACACAACATGGCTGACTACACCACCCCAACCTGGGTCCTTTCCACTTCGTGGCCTGGTATTTGATGGGGCTCATGCGTAGACAATGCATGTTCCTCTCCTGTTCGTGGCATCCTTTCCCAGAGTTGCCACCCATCTACTAGGGCATGTTACCAAGCCAAAGGGTGCCGTTTTGTTGCCTGGCTCCCCTTGGACTATCTCCGTTCCTGCCATTCTGGACTACCTCCTTCACCTCCATCAGTCAGGCCTCACCCACTCTTCTGTCTGCATCCACCTGGCGGTGCTTAGTGCGTCGATTTCTCCATCTTCACCCACCCGACTACCTCCTCCTTTTTTCATAGCTTTCTCAATGCCTTCCCCAGCATATGAAAGCCTACTCCTCTCTGGGACCTTAACCTCATCCTCTTGGCCCTCACCAAACCACCATTTGAGCCGCTTGCTACATGCTCCCTCGCCCAGATCTCTCCATGAAGGTGATCTTCTTGGTGACCATCACCTCCCTAAGGTAAGTTAGTGAACCTAGCAGCCATGATGGCAGGACCCCCCTTTACTGTTTTGCAGAAGGACAAGGTCTCCCTTTGTCTCCATCCCAAATTCCTCCCCAAAGTTTCCTTCCCATTTCACCTCAATCAATCTGTGCACCTCCCCACCTTCTACTCTAAACTGCAGGCCTCTCCCCAGGAATGCATTTTCATACCCTGGATGTCTGCCATGAATTGGCCTTTTACTTCCAGCGTAC